CCCCCACACTTTACTCCACACCCACAGGGAGTGTAGTTCCACAATATCCGAGCCATCAACTCCAAACATGGATAACATGGAATTGTTCTGAACGCTTTATTACCTTGACTGGAGTGGGCAGTCATTATTACTTTTTCACACTTACTTTCAATAAAGAAAATCACTGGATCTTCGTTATTGAGCTCTGGTTACCCATGCCGCTTTGAGGCAGGTGTTAATGGCCCGAGTTCCAGGGAAAATGAAATAATGTGATAGTTTCGTATAGATTTAAAGTCCCTATTTATAAACAGTGTGAAGTAAATATAATGGTGGTTTGCGTTTGTTCTTTTGTTGTTATGAATGTAGAATCGAGGCTGGCGAATAGGAGAAGACATAACAGCATTAGGCGTTCCTTTCAAGATCTGGGCTGCTGATAAGTGCTGCAGCTAACAAAAACCAATGCTCATTTGGTGTGCCGAAGGTGATAATGAATGTCCCTGAAAGCGTCTGGTTTGTAATGGTTATTGGTTTATTGTGGCGGTACATGGTGATGGGGAACTTTTGTCAGAGTCCATGGTGTAAAGGTCCAGGTTTTTACTTTGCATACAGAGGACGCACATTCGATTCCAGTTTGGGGAAAATGGTCAAAAATGTCCAAGACGACCACCCATTGGTGAGGAGAAAAGTGATTAAGTGGGTATCACAGGCAGGTTGCACAGCGTCATTAACATACCGTACTTACACATAGCCTTCTCGGATAAGGGCTAAAAAACCTCGGAGGTCCCTTGTGCAAGCTGCCCACGTTAAAGATCCCTTGGTGGTTCAAAATCGATAAGAGTAGGCTTCAGCCGCCACCTGGGCAAATTCAAAATTTCCTACCAACTGAAAATGTTAAATGTGTTCCGCACGCTCATATGACCTTATTTTGCTGTTGTGAGTGCCGTAAAACACTTACAAACAAAGCAAAGCAAAACAAAACGAAACAAAAATATGAAAAAAATTAGCGTATAGAAAAAAAAGGGATGGAAAGTGAGGCAGTTCAGGTGATTGTCTCGTACAGTTGGTCGTAAAAGCAGGGCCGATCGTACATTGTTATTGGCGTTTAGTAGGTTATCTCCGTCTTTCTGCTGGGGTCCAACTCGCCCAAATGGCCCAAGGAAGCAGTGTTGGAACAGCGAGCGGAGTGTTTGGTTTGTTTCTTTGTTTGTTTCTTTGTCTTTGGGGGGGGGGGGGGGGGACGGAGCAGAAAGAGAAACAGTAAAGTTGTTGAATTTAAAATCTAAACAAGATAATATTCATGTTGTTTTTGTTTTTCTCATTGGTATTTCATGGAACACGTCCTGACCTCACCTTCGCAATTGCTGCTTGAAAATAAAGTTTCATTAAACAAAATTGTAGTGTCTTTTTTATTTCACTCTAATTGTTTCATTTACACACTTGTTTTTATTTATCTACCCAACCATAAGGCGAGACAAAGTTTCCGCTGCTAAGCAGCCCTCTCTAAAAAAGTGTGTTAACCAAACATGTTCTTTATCCACCATCACAGAAATGCATTACCCCCACTGTCTCGGCAAATTGTTCAGTCAAAAAGGAAACGACTTAGATCGGGAACGACACACGTTTGTATATTTACAAGCGAACCATGTTCGTTCTTCCAGCAGTCCGCCATGTGACGTCATGAGCAGTCCTCAGAGGCAGAGACTATGTCGTGTTTTTGGTCCAAAGTTGACCACTTTGGCTGTGGTCAACACAGTTCTCATTGGATTTACCGAGGGTAGTGTTGTTGAGCAGATTTTGTGAACTGAAAAATAAGGTAAGGATTTTGTCAAGAACGTAAAATAAATGATCTATTTGATTGCTTAAAACAACCAGCAAATACGTTACTATGTTTGCATTTTCCTGTCGTAAGGCTGCAGGGATTTTGTGATGTTTTAAAATAGATATCTAATTTAGATTTCCCCCTTTAATTATACGATAAAAGGAACTTGTTTTCAAGACAATGTATAATGGAAAGATAATATATATTATACTGTCCGTTGAAACAAAGAAATAGAGACACAGTATTAGGAAAAGAAAACAAACACCTTAACCTCATTACTAGGGCACCGATACCTGAACACCTTTCCGTGTTGTGCTAGAACTGAGAAAATGTCCCCATTCATATATAAAATTCCTCATCTGACAGGTAGTGAAGCCTGCAATTGAACACCCAAACCGATGTTTTTTTAACGACACCCTGTAGACCAGGCTGGTTGTCCCACTTTCATTTACCCTCAGGGATGACTTCCGTAACGAGCGACCACTATGAGACAGTAGAACCGAGGGGCAGGGGGTAGGGGTAAGGTTTGTGGTAGGGTTATGGTTTAGGTTAATTGTAGGGGTAGGGTTTAGGTTTGGGGTAGGCTTACGATTTGGTTTGGAAACGTCTTTGTCGTAGTGTTTGTTGGGGTGGTCGCTCGTTACGGAAGTCTTTCCCTCCCATCCACCACCTTCCTTAATTTGCATCCCCCCCCACTCCCCGAGTGGATAGGGATCTTGTTTCTCATTAAAAAGGGTGGGAGACCCTCGCCCTAGCCCCCCCCCACCCCCATCCAACCCCCCCCCCCCCACCCCCGCCTCTTGTGCATTCGTTGGGAACTAAAAAGGAGAAGGCATCATATTTTTTTTTTGTTCATGTGCGGTCCGCAGAGGGGAAAATAGATTAGGCTTATGAGCCCGGAAACCCGGCAGACGAACGTTTGTATGATCGATGGTTGGCTACTAGA